CTGGAAACATGCAATATACCTCTCTACCTCTGTTGGATACAGAGGGGCACAAAGGGGGAAAAGAACAATGCTTTAACCAGCTGAAAGTAGAACCATTTCCTTTTCCTCTGTCTGTGTAGCAGAGTATTAGTTAGTTTCTGGTACTAAAACTCCTAATAGTAAAGAATTTTAATGTTTTCTGAATAATTTTTTAAGTTTGTCCTAAAAGCARGACACTGCATGAGTCCTAGAGCAGATGATACATGATTTCTTTCCCCCAACTCAGTCCAAGACAAGGAAAATTATACAGATTTTAGACAAGAGGGGAAATTAACTTATTAGACACAGCCTATGGTTGCTCAACAGCACAGCTATGAATGCCATTATCAGCAGAGATTCAAGAGTTCTTACTATCATAAAATGTGGCAGCTACTACTTTAAGCAACAAAACTTAAATGTACAAGCATCTTAATCACATAGTCACACTGATAAAGTTTTAGGAAGACTATACAAAAGCACTATGATATGCCAGCTAGCTCACATGATGGATATTAAAAAAGTAGGACACAGATAACAACTCTTCCTCATTTGTCTCCTTCTGACAGAGAAACCTAATTCCTCCTCTTTCTGTGACCGGCACAGTTGTGCAGTTGTTTTGTGTCAGCATAAAAATAATGGTGCAAAAGGAGAATTACAAATAAGTGCTAAAGTTTGAAATCAAGAACAGGTATCAGGGAAAGCAGAATATGCACTTTTGCTAAATCTACTAAAGATCTCAAAAACATGCACTGATTTAACTTTACGTTTTGATTTTACTTTTCAATAGCATCATCAATGTCAGATGAAGAGTTAACTTCTAGTAAAATTCCAGTACTTTGAATCTCACAAAAAAATGGTCACAGGGCTAACATTAAGAGAAAAGAAAAAAAAAAAAAAAAAAAAAAAAAAAAAAAAAAAAAGGCAGCAAAAAAATGCATTAAAAGGAAAATTGTTCTACAGGTCACCTTGGAGTATGTCAGCCGTCTCCTTGGAGCACGTCAGCATAGAGAATTGTCCTAGTGACATCAAAAGCTTTTGCCAGTAGAAAGCCATTTAAATTTGGATAAGTTCAGTTTCCAATTCTATCACCTTACATAAAAAAAATAAAATAGATAAATATGTTTTAGCTAGCCCAGACAAATATGTAGCCTCAACAGGAACATGAATTTTACATTATGACAAGTTAATACTCTGAGGGAGCATATTCTGAAATCTCGATGCAGATCAGGTTTAAATATAATCCCCCTAAGGTTTCTATGAAATGGGAAGAACAGCCTACAATAAATAACTTTTGATCCTCTAAACCAATAAAATTATGGTGAGAACAAAGCTAAGATCTAACCTCAAAACACCAAGATAYTGTTTCTTCCTCATCTACCAGAAASCAAGCYATTCTACACATCACAARCTAGTTTGGTGATTTCACGAAATCCTAGAGAACATACACTGAAAATCAGTAGCTTTGTAGGAATAATTTGCCTTTTCATTCAATATTAGTATCTCCTAMACATACACAGGCAAGGCTGGACAGGAGAACTATCTTCTGCAAACACAGAAGACATCCAAGTTAYGCTGCTGGAAACAGATCAAAGCAAGTCACCTGAGATTTCAAGTACAAGATTTTCCTCCTTATTTACTCCTGAAAATGAAACAAGACCAGTTATCAGCACCCCCAAAAGATGCAAGTTTCCAAAACACATCTGCATCTAAGTGACACTTTCCACAAGTGCTCACATCCATCCTGGACCTCAACAATAAAAATATGCAAATGGGTAAGAAATGAGAGGCAAGTAATATTGAAAATATGTTACTGTRTCCTCCAGAATAGTGGGTTGATTTCTGGAAATTAATTATCAGAAGAAATAAAAAAATAAGTATAAAAWGCAAAAGCTCACCAGAAAGCAAGAAAAGTCTTTTTAAAATTGAATTATAACTGAGATAGTTCAATTAAAAGAAAGAACCAAAACAGAATAATAAAAGAGATTCTAGGTGATCCTAATTACTCTCCTTTAGTTTAAAAGAGTGCTCAACAGATCTGAGGTGCAAACACCAAAGAGCCCTCTTAATTTCACTATACAATTAACTGAGGCTRAGAGCTTTGGGGTGTGGACACTGTGATTAAAATTAAGATTAGACATTTATACCAAAAATAAATTATGCTAAAACTTCTAATATAAAAAAATCTCACAGCAGGTTTACAGAGTTTTGTTTAACAAAAGGAGGTAAAACTTCAAAGTAGAACAAAAACTAACTGTAAGTGCTAGAAATTTCCAATGGAAAATATCCTATGACTGTCCATTACTCCAGCAGGGTTTTCCACCACTAAAGAAATGGTCTCTGACTTAAGAATTGCAATTCCTCTCTCCTGATTGATATTTACAAKTACAATCTCATCCAAAGAACACTAACAATATAAAAGTTCTCATAATGACGAGTACTAATAATATCACCATGTAGTGAGCAATATTTATGCTTAGTCCTTTAGCTATGGAGCTGGACTCAGGAAAGTTTGAGCCTTTAAATACATAAGATTTTCAGACAGCAGAAGTGCTTTTACAARTGAGATCCCTTACTTGCAAAAAGACACTCAAGCCTCCCATTGTTTTCACTAAAAAAATCCCAAGTATCTCAGAATTCAGACAGTACTTGCTGAGACTATTAGCACAAAATATATTAATTCTTTTGCAATTCAACAGTTGAGTTTATCTTCAGAGACAAAATTTACTAACATTGATTACTGCATTATATAATCCCATTTCTACACCTGCTTTCTGGTGTTTTGTTGGCTTTGGGGCTTTTTTAATATTTGACCTTCCTATAACTCCTTTAACTACTGAGAACTAACATGTTTAGGTACCCAAGTTTAGTCAGGAAAAGTGTGAGATGGCATTTAAATGGTRCCACATTGCATTTTAGAAAAAATAGCAAGTGAAAGACTGATCACTGCAAGTCTAATTTTGCTATTAGAAATAGCCACACTGCTTTGAAATCAAGCATTCTTCTTTCAGCACACTAATATTTCTGCATAACTTTTGCATTTAAGAAGCATGCAAAATTCTAACTGCATARAACTGTAATGCTTTAACATGCTTAGAATTATATTCTCATGCCAATACAAATCAGAGCAGCAGAAATTCTATGCTGGGCCATGGTAGCATTCAAAACAAAGTACATACACACACAAACCAGACATACTCTTTCTCTCCCGTTAGCTGACTTACAGCAGACCCTTTTTCTTTTTTTCTTTTTTTTTTTTTAATTTTTTTTTTTAGTACTATTCCAAATAATTCTGTCACATTTTGGCCAAATGTAGCACACTGTACCAAAACAGAGAGACGGAACAAGAAACAAGAAACTGTTACCACACACAAACAAAAAACTTGCCGAGTTGTAGCTCAAACCCATGTAATTCTTATGCTACAAGAAGTGCTGCTGAAACAAACAGTGTCATTCGGAAGCACTCATGAATACATGATATTAAATGTGTAATATTACACTACCACGACCTTAGAACAAGCAATGAGCCACCTTCTTTAGCACAATAGCAAGTTGAGAATCKGGATTTCCCGCAGAATCTGACATCATAGATGGCTAGCAGTTCTTAAGAAAAATTAAAGTGAGATTGTTAAAATTTTATGAGATGGAAATAACAGTGATTAAAACTCCTGATTCAACACCCTTAGTACAACTGTCTACAACTGTACATTGACTACATTTTCTTCAGATATTTACCACGAAGGAGAAATACACTATGGAAGTGGCACCCTTCTAAGGAACATTCACAGCCATACTTTAAAACTACTTAAATTTGTTCAACAAGAAAATTTGAACAAAGGAAAAAAAAGAGGTCATTATGACCAAGTCTTCAAGTATGTCTGAAAGCTTAAATGAAAGACATAGCATCTGTTCTTGCTCTCTGCAGGCAATACCTGTTACTCATGAGTAACACATAGAGAAGGTATGCCTTGCAGCACTAACCATCACAAAAACAAATTTTGTGCTGTAAAACCTACAGAAGACCTACAGAAGTATCTACTGCTAGCTCTTACCCCAACAGGAAGACCAAAGGAAATCAGAATTTAAAATCCATCTGCAATGACACCTACTGGAAGGGAAAAGATTGATGACTCAGGCTCACATCTGCCCTTCATACTCCTCAAATTTTCTCATTGATCTCACACCACCACTAGGCTTATGAAAGCATCCTTGGAGTGGAAACACATACAAGAAATTGCACCAGCACATTTCTTCTGCAASATCAGTTTGTAATTATTTTTTTTAATGGACTCAGAACCTGATAACATTCCCTGCCAAGTGAACTACTGAGATGCAGAAGAAGCCTCAACTTCTCAAGGAGGGCTGTTCTTTTAAGATTACCCTAAAAGTTGCGTGAGTTACAGGCAGGCCACTAATTCCCCATGTAATCGTCGCCTTTTAAACACCAGACAAAGGTCTACCTGCTACAGATTAACCTCCTCCGCAGCCCAAGTGCTCCGGGGCACACACGCGATTACTGCTTCTCCTCCCGCCGGCCCTGTGACATTCAGGGGTGGCCGGGGACCGAGCGGCGACCCTCGGGCTGCCGCGCCGGGCACAGGCGCCCGTACAAGTTTCGGCACCGCACACCGGCGGCAGTGGGGGACACACAGCACGGCTGATTAAATCCGACAGCTAAAAGCCATTTCCAGGCTGTTTCTACCCACGGCGAAGCCCGGGCGGGGGGGAGGGCGGTGAGGAAGCGCTGACTGTCCTTGATGTATTTCGGTCCGCTCCCCGGATCCCCAAGGCACCGGCGGGACGCGGATCACCGGCGCTGCCCGGGACGGCACCAGGGGCGGGCGGCGGCGGGGGGATGCTCGAGCCCCGCTCCAAGGGGAAGGGAGGAGCGGGCGGGGAACGAGCCGGGCTGGGGGGCCGGGACGGCCGGAGGGGGTCGGAGCCCGCGGCGGGATGCGGCCCGGGGCGCGCGGCGCCGGCGGTACCTGATGATGTCGTCCTGATGCCCCAGGTAGAATTTCTGCCGGTGCTCCCGGGGGCTGTAGACCACGCCGACCCCCGCCACGAAGTAGACGATCTCCTTGGCCGCCGTGTAGTAGAGGTTGTTGCGGCACTGATGACCCCGGTAGCCGTAGACCCACTCCAGCCGCAGGTGGCAGCTCGGCGCGCTCCGGTCAGCCATGTCCACCCGCCCCCGCCAGCCGGGTACGGCTCGCTCCCGCCGGAGACCCCGCGGGGAGGGGGCGACGGGCCGGCCGCCCCCTCCGCTCGGCTGGGTGCCCGCCGCGCTAATCCCTGCCCGCCGACATGGATGCCCGCCGCCGCCGCTCGTCCGCCGCCGCCGCCGCCTCACAGAGGGCGCCGCCGCCCGAGCGCGCCTCGCCGCCCCGCGCCGCCAGACATGGCTGCGCTGAGACACCGCCCGGGACGCGGAGCGAGGGCGCGGCGCCGCTCCGGCCCCCCCGCGCCCCGGATGCGCCTGCGCCAAGGGCGGCGCCGTCAGCGGCCGGGCGGGCCCGGTGGGGTGCGGGGGGCGCGGGCACCGAGCGGGGACCGAGCCGGGGACCGAGTGGGCACCGAGCCGGGGACCGGCAGCCGAGTGCCGGCGGCGAGCGGGCAGGCGGGAGCGTGMTGCACCACTGTGCGTTCTGGCGTATCGCGGGGCTTTTTTTTAAATTTACCTTTTTTTTTTTTTTCTCCTTAACTGAGGCTGTGTCTTTTCCCCCTTCCCCAAGTTTAGGATTTTTTTGTTTTACTGTTCCTTCGGGAAACGTTCCCGTCCCTTGCCTTTCCGTCGACGCACTGCCGCCAGCTCTCGGCAGCGACAGGGACTGGATGAGTCCCAGCCCCTTCTCAGCCGTGCGTGGAAGCCACCCCCTGCTCTTACTGGGGACCGGCGGCACGCCAGCTCTGTTCCATCCCTCAAGAAAATGTCAACTGTAATTTTTAATGACGAATGCTTAACCCCTTCAGCCCACCGCCTGATTCATGCACTACGCAAAAGTTAGTTCCCCATCCAAGCCCTGATTTCTCCATACACAACTTTTCACTCTTGGTTCTCAAAGCCTTTTACAAGGCGAAGTCACCACTTTCACGGATGTGGAAGTGACTTCTCTGTGTTGCATGAAGCAGCAATGCCGGGGAACCCCGCGGCTACGTCCAGAGTTTTGGTCATGAAATCGTGCTCCCTTCCAGCTTTGTCACTCTATAGAATACCTCACTGGCTAAATAAATGTWCAGTGATCATGCGAAACAGCTTAGTGCTATGAAGTTGAATACCTGTTCGAAAAGGTCCTGGGTAACTGGTTTGACAATTTAAAATARACCCTATCTTTTTCCTATTACTCCCAGCACTCCATATGTATTTATTTTGTCAGGATTTATTTTTAAATCTGCATTTCTTTACCTTTTGCTCTTTTACAATTTTATTACTCCKATTGACTGTTCTACAAAACATGTACTTCTAACTAGTTAGTTCATGTTGGAGACATTTTTCCATGCTACTTTATTTTCATTTTAATTAGAGGCAGTTTTTCCTCTTAAGTCTTTCTTGCATAMATTTAATATTGTATTAGACCTTTCATTGTTTTGGGAAAATATTTCTTTTGTAAAAATGCATGCATTTAAGCATTCCAGTCAATTAACTTTATATTAACATATTTTCACAGTGTAGAACACTGAGAAACACATTTTTCTCAAGGTCTTACAGTGACATGTCTTTGTGACATCAGGCTCAGATGCAGCTTTGAGTCTCACACATTTAATGGAAACAACACAGCATGGAACAGAAGTCTTCAGAGAGTTTCACAYAGCCTGAAACTTACAGACAAGTAAGTCTGAAATTTTCCCTGAAAATTTTAACATTTTGAATYAAAAAGAAAGGACTTTAATCCTTAGTCAGGACAAAAATCTATATATTTTAACCAACAGATAGAGCAAATCTTACTCTCAGAAAATCATAAGCACTCCTTTYCCATTCTATTTGCTTCCTAAACAGCTGGAGCACCTTGGAACTTGAGTAGCCGTAGTCTCTCAGAAGGTCCCAAGAGGGGTGACTAGCCAGGGAAATGGACTGGACAATTCCCAACTAGCTTGTCTTAGAAGTGCAAAATGTATTATTCATTCTAATCAGATGTTAACTCTGCATGGCTGCTCTGTGTTGATATCCCATGGGAAAGGTGGTTACAGAAGAAGTCTATAATGATGCCTAATCTCATTCTGGAAACTGGATTGATTATCAGCAGACATAGACATCTGATATATTTGATTTCTGATACTGCAGAAGCTCATTTGAAAGTGGGAGTATATTTATGGTATAAATTAAGAATATATAAATTTTCTATTTACTGCCCAAATAATGTATATTTAAACATGATTGTACAAAAAACATAATTATGGTGTCCTTACYTTCTTCTACTCTCTATAAATGCATATTTTTCTTAGATTATTATTTAAAATTCTGGATCTCCTGAGATCAATATTAATGTGTGGTATTAGCTTCAGTGGAACTAAAATATTAATCTTGTCATCCTACTTGCAATTCAGAAATTAGAACAACAGAGTATTTGGTAATTGAATGTGATCAGGCTGTTTTCAGTCACATCTTCCAAAACTAAAACAGGGGACAAACAAAAAAAAAAACAAACCAACATTGTCTATAACTGGAAGTTGCAGATAATATTTTGTGTAATGAACAGAAGAACCCAAAACCCTAGTCAGAAAAACCATRTGTATGCAATGTGAGGATGGGAAGAGCTGCACATCACATGCACCACACAAACAGTATTTTCTTTTTATTTTTTCGGGAATTTACTACCATCTTTAAAATGGGGCAATGCCTGAGAGAAAATTACAAGAGGAAAACTATTCATTGCCATGGTTTACTCACCTTATGCTGATGTACAAGGGGTGCAAGTGAGATTCTACACACTTGGCATCTAGTTTTGCCAGGAATAGGAAGTGGTGTAATATAACAACCTCTTCCTCTCTCTTTGCTCTGTCCACCATTCCCACGTGGAATCATCCCTTTGGCCTCTACCAGCCTGGATATCTCCATCCATCACTCATAGCAGGCAGTCAATGCTTTGGAAGCCACAAGGCCCCACAATATCCCTCCATCAGTGTGGCATTCTTGTGTACCTTGCACACTTACCCCAGAACTCAGACACCCGGCTGTCTCCATTCTTTTTCTCGGCAGATACAGAGAGTGATCTCCTTCCCAAGCCGTTCTGGGGCAGGGAGCATCCTGCGGTCGCTCGCGGCAGCGCCTGGCGGGACGGGCACGGCGCTGTCCAAGGTGCTGATCAGGGCGGGCAGAGCACATGGCGCCAGGCGGTGTTCGCAGAGAAAGGAAATGTCACAGATTGCACTGAGTATTCTACATCGGAAGGGACCCACAAGGATCATCGGGTCCAGCTTTTATACGGATGGCCCATAACGGGATCAAACCCGCGAGCTTGGTGTTACCAACACCATGCTGTAACGACTGAGCCAATCTCAGGGGCAGGTATGCTTTATTGCCACTACAGTTATAGTCAGAAACAAATGACCTTTTAGACAAATAAGACACTTTAGGTTCTTCCAGTAAGGTATTTTACAAGTGTTTGGCTGTTTTCCTTAGCTGCCTGTGGTGAGTTTTATATCTTTCCAATTATGTCAGATACATCACTGCAAATAATGTTTCAGTGACACAGGTACATCACCTCTCTAAATGAAATCACATAAGTGGYATTTTAATGTTTCCCAATGTGTACTTACAAGAAAAAGTACTTCTCAGCATATTGCAAATATATTTACAATGTATCTCATGTTCTGCTAAATGGAACAAGGCTTAGAGAAGTGATTTCTTAAACAAATGCTCTTGGAACAGCTAATTCCAGAGCACACAAGATGAGGGATTATTCTCTGTTAAGTCTTAAGTAATACAGAGTAGCCAGTTCAAGTAGTAATTATATAATATGAAAGAGATGAACAACAGTGACAACATTAATTTCAACATTCTTGGGGATTAAAAGGTCTCAGTCTATTATGGGAACACAATGTCTGAAAATAYTTTGCAAAACTAAGAAACCTACTTAGAGTAATAAGAATTACATGCTACCATTCGAAAGCACTGAGGCAAATATGCAGGATCACAAAGGCTTGATTACTATTGGATAAAAATAAGAAGTAAAGGAAAAAAATGCTGCTGTTAGGGGTTTTTTTTTTTACAGCTGCATTGATTTCTTCTAGTGTTATGAACACCTATATAAACAATCACCGWTATGAACAATCTATATTCAGCACAGCATACAGATATCTGCATCAAACAAGAAATAGTGCCACATATGAAATACTACAGATAAAAAGGAAGGTAATATTCTCATTGAAAAACRTCCCATTCATCCTGTACACTGAAGGAGGTATGGGTGTGATTACAAAGACTGGGTTCAGTCCATGCATAAATAACATAGGACAGACATAAAGTCCTATGATGTCTTAGGACCTAAATGTTATCGCCATCTTATTTTTGTTATTAACTGCTGGATGGCCCCTTTTCAAGTAGACTATGGGAACCATGATTAGGATATCAGGTATGATAAGAAAGAAACAGYGGAATTAATTTTCATTATTGCAGTAGTTGCTATTGGAGCATATTGCTGTCTTGGCTGGTCACAGAATGAAACCTGAAGCTGTTAGGACAAATTACTTTCCTGGATGCTGAATCCATGCCTCAGAACAAAACTCTACTCTTAATGCAATTTTATTTGCATGATGTCTTTTAATTTTCTACAGTCAGCAAGAAATTCTACAAGAAAATATGTGAATTCAGATGTCAGAGTCCTTRATGAAAACAGCACTTCTTTGCACCCTTCTGCCACAAGTGTGTGCCTTCCCTTGGCATGGCCTGATCTGTTTGGATTCAAAGAACACAGAACAAAATCTGCTCTCTGCTCTGTTGTTCTCAATTCTCCTGACATCCAAGGTATTGACTCATTAGAACTAACCTTTTTTGCATGTCAATTTTCATGATGACCAACTCTCGTTCAAAGGCGAGCAAGACATTTCCAGCTGCGGCAATCTGCAGGTAGATGTGTTGCAACATAAATATTCATTTTCAAGTCCTTGTTAATTGTATTGAGCTGCAATACATTTTTCTTCTGTAATCCTACATTTCAAGTGAATTGTGTAACTGACAGAAGC